AAGGTGAGGACAATAGTCCGAATAATGTAAATAATGAACAAATGCAATCACAATACTTTTGTTGCTTACATGTTTTCCGTAAGTGTCAATGATGACCTGTCTAAGTTCCGGTTTATCATGTCATGAAAAAAATACTCCTCCTCTATCTTTTGAAAGTAAATTTTAAATTTAATATATATATATATATATATATATATATATATATATATATATATATATATATTACATTCAACACCATCACTTGATAAGACACCGGTTATTTTTGTAACTGGCTATTTTTGTAATGGATTATAACGTTTATGTTATAATTTTTTAAAGAAAAATTATATATATATATATGTCAAGCGTATCAAGACAAAAAATCCGAACAGGGCGAATCAAATGGTCCAGTTTTAATCCAAAGAAAAAGACCAAGCCAGTAATAAAGCTAAAACGTAGAGTGCTAATGCGCTAAGTAGAGCTGTGATAAATAAAATAAATCCTAAAGAGACAAGAACAACCTACCTAGGTTTCATCTAAACGTATCTTCAGTGCAATCTGGCTAATTTGCTAAACGGATCTTCAAGTTAATTTAGCCAGATTACCACAAGATCCTTTTAGGTGAAACCTAGGTTGGTTGTTCCGGTTCTTGAGGATTTATATATATATATATATATATATATATATATATATATATATATATATATATATATATATATATATATAAAGCCCCACCTGTGATTTATACAGCTACTATGCTAAGCAGAACTTAGTTACACTTTCTGGTAGAGAGCATATTATCTAGCGTGATCAACAATCTGAACAAGGTCAGCACACTCAAAGTACCTACACGTGGTATGGCTTTCAGGTATTTTCCAAAGGTACCGCACATAGGATAGTCCCTCTCCAGTCCGATAACATAAGGAAGTTTCCTTTCTAACAATTCGATCATGGTGAGATTCGAACCTGGGTTTCATGTGGTCAAAAACGAATATTCTAACCACTCGGTCATATATATATATATATATATATATATATATATATATATATATATATATATATATATATATATATATATATATATCATTCACTGTAGCCTGTAGATTCATCCGGTGTATGGAGCCACATTTAACAATACTCTCGGTGTAGAGTTTCTAGCATCATACACAACCGGTTTTGGATTCGGAGATGTCTTTTAACTAAGGTGGTTCTCCAACAAGAATACTCATCCAGTCAGTGTTACTATTTAATCCATGAATGTGGGGAGAAGTGATGCATTCATACCTTTAACTTTCTGTGAAACTGTATGGTTTTCGTAATCGACTGGAATTCGAACTCGGCTTGTCCAAATCGATAATGCGTACAACTCCTGCGAATCGTTCGTACATATATATATATATATATATATATATATATATATATATATATATATATATATATATATATATATATTAGGCAATATATAGGTGGTGTAATGGATTATAAGCTTGTCTCCCTAGTGCCGCTTACTTATAATGTTAGTGGTCAATATATATATATATATATACATATATGCGTGTGTGTTGATGTGTGTGTGTGTATATACGTATGTTTTGGGGGCATATAAATATTAGGTCTTTACTAAATTAAATAATTTTATGTTAAATTTGTAACCTGTAGCTGATATTACATGCTTTGTCTAATTATTCTTGGTTACACATCATTTCTTATATAAATGCCCTCGTTTTTGTTTGCTTCCTCCCCTTTTTTGCTTTTCCTTCCTCTCTCTTCTCTTTTCATGTATGCATAAGGTTAGTAAATGCAAACCAGACGGAGATTTTTCATATATGCATCGGGAGTATGAATTGGCTGGATTTGGGATGGGGGATGGTTCTCTGTGATGATTAATAGAGAACAGTTTTGTTTTTGAGTCATTAAAGTTGACCAGCCAATTCCTGCCCCAGTTCACAACCAATTGGAGGTCCTTTTCGAAACGAACTGCCAGGTTAGTTTTGTCAGCGACATTAGATTTGTTTTTGAGGTAGGAGTAAATTGTAGTGTCGTCCGCGAAGATGACTACTTGGGAATCTCTGATGTCAGGAAGATTGTTGATGAAGATAAGGAACAGAGTAGGGCCTAGGATGGAGCCTTGGGGAACAGCTGCATTTGTGGGACAGAAGCTGGAGGAGAATCCATTGAGAACGACCTTCAATCGATAAATATACGTTGTATATTTGTACATATGAGATTGTATGTATATGTATGCATGTGTGTATGGTTAGATGTATATATGTGTACATGTGTGTATGTCTGTGTATATACGTGCGTATGTGTATGCATGAGTGTATGTGTATATATATATATATATATATATATATATATATATATATATATATATATATATATATAGCTGTGTCTTTAAAACCAGTATTTTAAAAGTTACTCCAAAAATCGCTTGAGGATGAAATGGAACTAATGTTTTTAATTTAATTGCAAAATTGAATTCGTGGCTTTTAGCTTCATTTTTGAAACATACATAGAACTGTGTATCGGAAAAAAAACATATTTTAAATCAATTAATTTATAATATATATATATATATATATATATATATATATATATATGTACTATATATATATATATATATATATATATATATATATATATATATATATTTATATATATATATATATATATATGTATGTATGTATGTTATGTTCATATATATAGATGTGTATGTGTATATACGTATATATTTTTGTGCGTATAAATAGTAGGTTTTACTAGATTAAATATTTTTAAATATTTTTATGTTTATATTAAATTTGTAACCTATTGGAAATATTACTTGCTTTGTCTACTTATTCTTGATTACACATCATTTCTCTTATAAATGCCCTCGTTTTCAGTTTGCGCGCCCCTCCATTTTTTCCTCTCTCTCTCTCCTTTTCTTTTCTTGTATACATAAGGTTAGTAAATGCAAACCAGACGGAATATTTTCATATATGCATCGGCATCATGAATTGGCTGGATTTTAAGTTAAGATCATGTCGTTTTTTTTTTAATTGTGCGTCATGTCACCACAAATGTATCCACATCATCCGGTGTTTGTTGTTTAATTTTAATTTGAGGTCAGCGAATCGGTAGTGATTTATGCATCGGAAAATAATTTATATTTATCTGTATCTCACTCAATTAAACCGTTATTTAACTCCTCTCTTTAAAACTTTTCTCTTTAAATTAAAAATTTAAAAACTTTAAATTTTAATCCCCACCTTCACCTTTAGGCTTTCCTGTTCTTCTTTCTTCTATTACCCCTCTCTCTAGAGCTTTCATACATTTCCCTCTCAAGCTTGTTTCCCACTCCCACACATACATTCTCACTAAAATTTAGTTATATTTTCCGATTTCTTTTTGACTTTGTAGGTCTGATGAATTAGAACGTGATTACGATTCCAATGTAATAAATTATAACCAT